GCAGTAATGCATGTATGGGGTGCAGTGATGTAGACGGGTGTAGTTTGATGTATGTATGTATGTGGGTGCAGTAATGTATGTATGTGGGTGCAGTGATGTAGACGGTTGTCCTTGAAGAAGCCGCTGTGTCTGTAAATGCTTTGGCTAAACTTGTCGTATCACTGTGTTGTGATTGTGTGTTTTAAAATGGTCTGTAACTGTGCTGCTGTTAGCATTCTTCAAATAGTAATGCAGTATGTGGGTGCAGGATCTACGTGGGTGTAGTGATGCATGTGTGTGGGTGTAGTAATGCATGTATTTGGCTGTAGTTAGTTTGATGCATATATGAGGTGCAAGTACCGTCGTCGGGGCAGATGGGGCAGCACTCGTCGTGGGGTGATGATGGGGTTGGGGCAGCGTCGTGTCCTCGCAGATAACTTCGTCGCACATCACCGTGCCGCTGTCGCACACACAGATCTGACAGAGTTCAGGCTTCCACACATCCCGGTCCGCAAACACCTGGCCGTCCAAGGTGCAGCTGCCCCAAACTATGGGGGGGGGGGGGGGGGGTGGGGGCAGGTAGAGGGACAGGTGAGATACATGCACGGGTGGACAGAAATGCAAAGCAAGGGTCGAGTTGGAAGTGAATCTTAAAAGGAAGCAGGGATTGAAAGTTGCATCCAAACAAAAGATTATAAGAATCTAGAAAGTGTATTTAACAAAAATCTGAATATATTTATGAAATATCTCTAGAATCATTTGAACGGATGTAATATCCCAGTGCGTAGCTTTTCAGATTTCATATATTTTTAACCAATAACACTCCACCTAAAATGTAGAATAATATTACAAATTAAATGTGTTGTTTTTATATATTTCGTTCTCTCACTCTTAGCATTAAAAGGTGATCATGAGATCATTTATCTACGTGGCATCAGGGTTCAATCTGCATCGACCAATCAGAGCTGGTTCAATCCCATCCCTACAGTCCAACATGTGGAAGAGTCCTATTACTTAATACTTATCCCCATTTTGCTCTGAATAAAAGCTATAAAACATGTAATGCAATATATTGACACGAGCGTGATGAAGAGAGGAGAAAGCTGACGGCAGTGTCGTGAAACATGAAGCAGATCTGATGATGTTGAAGGTTTGAACTCAGCAGAAAGAGGACAGGTGACGGAGAAGGTCACGTCAGCACGGAGCAAACGTGATTTCATTTCCCTTTCAACCACGTCCTAAAAAACCCTCAGCTCCTCTGCTCTGACTCAGAGTCACTTCTTCTGAGCTGCGTTGCATCACTGAGCGTCTCTCAGCTGAACTGAACCCACACTGGGCCTCCTCTCTGGGGTTAGAAACCTCCCAGCATGCCTCAGTGCTGAGCTCAGAGCGGCGGCTTGGCGCCAGCTGCTGGAACACTGCATGTGTTTGCAATTAGAGGATACAAAAAAAAAAGAGTGGAAAGAAGAAGAAGAGGAGGGGGGAAGGAGGAAGAGGGAGGAGGGGTGGGGCACGTGGCGGCCAGATGTTTCTGCAGGACCCTTTAGCTGCCTCTGGGTGGCGCTTCTGACACCACATCTGCTTCTCAACAGCTGAGATCTTTCCAGACCAACATCTGGAAAAAGTGACTCTGAGCTCTCCACCGTTTCTTTGTCCTGAAGAAGCTGTATTCTCTCTGACGCTAAACTGTGGCACAAAGGGGGGGAGATCGCTCAGGTTGTGGAGGTCAAATGTTTCCGGCAGACGAGACTACCCCTCCCTCTCTGACTCCTCCCCCTCCCACCTGGCCAACTCATCACTTGGCTCCAGGCGGTGAATCCACATCAATCAGATCTGAGGACATCTTTCCCTATGTCCTCCAGTCCTGCTGTTCCCTAACCCTAACCCTAACCCTAACCCTAACCCTAACCCTAACCCTAACACTATATTATCTAAACCTAACCCATCCCAAACCATACCACCTTTTCTTTCTTTTGTCCTCCTTTGGGAGTCTTGTTGTGGGGGGACATCATCATTAAGGGGGGGGTAAATTAACAAAATGCCACGTACAAGAAGTCAAACTAAACCTGTTGTTCTTTGGGGTTCAATTTGGATAAGACATGTATTTCTGCTGTACTCACTCAGAAAAGCTTCGCCTGGAGGAACGACTGGAAAACCTGCAGCAACTCGCTCTGCATGCATGCATCGGAGTGGGGGGGGGGGGGGGGGGGGGGGGGGTAGAGAGGCAGAGACAAACACAGGGAGAGAGAGAGGGGCCTTCTCAAGATGCCCAATGCATTACGTACACCCTGTTCTGTTTAAAGTCCTGCAGAGACTCCTCCATCTATCTATCTATCCATCTATCCATCCATCTATCTATCTATCCATCTATCCATCTATCTATCTATCCATCTATCTATCTATCTATCTATCCATCTATCTATCTATCTATCTATCTATCTATCTATCTATCTATCTATCTATCTATCTATCTATCTATCTATCTATCCACCTATCTATCTATCTATCCACCTATCTATCTATTTATCTATCTATCTATCTATCTATCTATCTATCTAGGAGTAGATCCCATCAAACTTTCCTATCTCCTCTTCAAACTCTCTCCTCTGTCTAAGATCTCAGCAGCCGTCCACCCACGAAGAGAAAATCCACAACCATCCAAAAAACAAATCAAAAAGTTAAAAAAGCATCAGGAAAAGGCAAAGGTTTCTCCGTTAGAGTGCTGACTTACGGTCGTCCTCGCCCTGTGCTCGCACCAGGAGCACCGTGGCGCTCAGAAGCAGCGCCAGCCGCATATCCACAAAGCTGAACATGTCTAGATGCCACCAGACATGTAGACTCTTCGAGGAAAGAGGAAAAAAAGTTGGGGATGTTTTCTTGTCCTGCTACACTCCACTCATACACTGGTGTTTGGGCAGGGTCCGTCGTCTGTTCACTGTCCCTCGACCCCAACAGAAAACTCCCTACTGCCTACACTCACTTTCCACCAGGGCTTTATATGGGAGGCTTCAGGAGGGGAGGTGCCGGGAACTGCACCCTCATCACCCCAACAGGGAAGAGTGGACCCCTCCTTCAAAGCAGAAAAAACAGAAAAAACCCAGAATGGCCCTCCTCCCATAACTCCAGAGCCGACCGGAGGGGGGCTGAGCTGCAGAAACCTGATCCAGAAGAGCATCGAGGTTCTGCTCCTGCACACTGCTTCAATCCTGACTTTGATTTCTGGTGCTGCTCTACTTCCTGATTCACTTTGATTCAGATGAGTTGGAGACTTCTTTAGTTTCAGGGTCACAAATAAAGTTTTAGTCCAGTTTTGGAGGGTTTTAGTTTTGTTTTAAATTATTTTTTAGGTCCAAGTGCTTCACTTATGCTCTAATACCTGTTTAATCCTGACTTTTATTTCTGGTTCTGGTCTTCTTCCTGATTCACTTTGGTGGCTAGTAGTTTGTTTTAAATCAGTTTTTAGGTGAAAGTATTCCACTAATCTGTTCCTCCAGCACTGCTCTAAACCAGCTTGTTTTGTTCTGGTACTGGTCCACTTTCTGATTTTATTTTCAGTTGGATTTTAGTAAACTTCTTCAGGGAGAATGGCTAAAGTTTTAGGTCACGAATAAACGTCTCAGAACAGGACGGTTCAATCCATTTATTTTCTTTTTTAAATGTATAGTTTATGTAGGTCTTACAGTACTTGTTCATCCGGCATAAATGGGTCAAATCCTGACTTTTATTTCTGGTTCTGGTCTGCTTCAGAATTTTGATTGTTGTTGAATTTCAACTTCTTCGAGGAGAATGGCTCCAGTTTAAGGTCAGTCTAGTTTTAGTGTGCTGTTTTAAATCAGTCTTCAGGATGTATGTTTTCTTATTGTTTTCAGACTGTGAACATGCGCTGTGCGTGTCTGCAGGGTCAGAGGTGTTTGGTTTCGTTGTAGGGTTAACTTAGCTGTTGTTTCTGGAACTAATTCACTTGAGGTCATAAGATAAGATAACTTAAACCTTTATTAACCCCTGTGGGGAAAGTGAAACACGGGATAGGACAGGTTCACAGGATAAAGAGAATACACATTTAAGTAACAGAACAAACAACAAAAGGAATAGGTATTTGTTTGCACGGCTCTCGTGATTTTACATTCATTTTGTATGTAGGATTGTCTTTGTTCAGCAAAAAGCTCAAACTAGAGAGGCAACAAGGTGTTTGTGCATTTTCAGTTTGGGATATATTACGTCTCCTTTACTTGAAATTGACGGCATATTGAGAAAATTGTTAACATCGTCACAAACGTGCTGCATGGAGATGGGACGAAGCAGGCCTCTACTTGGCAGGACTGGTCTATTGAAAAGATAATATCAAGTTCCATTATGGGAAGTGTAGGATCCAGAATTGCTTTGAGCTTTGCCCAAACTAGGGACTGCAGGTCCTACTTACTTTAACTTCTTATATCATATCTATATAACTCTGCACTTCTGTTTAGATGCCAGAACCCTAACCCTTCAGTTTGAACCAGTCTTTTAAAAAGGTGATCCTAAAATTCTCGAAAAAACCTGTACAAACAGTCCATGAGCTAATTGTCTGAACTCTTTTGCACTAAATGTGTCCCTGAGCTTGGAGAAAATCAGTGTGCTGGAGATTTTCCCTTTGAGTATCACAAATGGCCCTCTAAACACAACTCAGATCCAGCTGAAAACTGTTATCTCATTTCATGTTTGTTGAGTTCTCCTGTATCAGCTTTCACATCCACATTAGCGTCCTGAGGGGGGGGGTGGTCTGCAGCTCTGGATAACACTCACTGTCATAACAGTTCAAACTAATGATGAGCAGAACCCTTAAATCACTGTCCTACATCACCCACAATGCAACATGTTTAGAGTTATAGAGACTCTTTGCACTCTTTAATATACGTCCCAATAGCTTCTACGCTAAGAAAAGGATCAATCATCAACATATTTTGTCCAGAATAACACAAGGAATGTTTCTGTTGCATGCTACATTTGAACGCATTTTGTGTTGGCCCAAAAAAAGCATTTCAGTCAAACATACTTCCATCATATTCTTAGAAAGCTTGTTTTGAACATGCGATAACATATTTAGAATATATAATCACCATTTAAAGTGATATATTCAGACAGTTCACCAACACTGAAACACATGAGCACATACAACAGTTTAAAACAGCAGAGATCAAATCTGAGCTGACAGAAAATGCTCCGTTTTAGTTTAATACACACAGTTAAACTCACACACACTATTTTATGAACGTATAGGTTCACCTGCTGAATTAAAAACAGAATTTAAATTTCAAAAAGTGAGCATTTTTATAAAAAGTGAGATTCTTGAAAAAAGTGAGATTTTTGAAAAAAGTCCAATTATTTATTTTTTAAGAAATTTAGATTTTTGAAAGAAAGTGAGAATTATGAAAGGAGTCAGGAATGTAAAAAAGTTTTTGGGGAAAATAAGTCTGAATTGTTTGGAACAAATCAGGATTTTGAGAAAACAATTGCGAATTTTTGAAAAACAGAAAAATCTGGATTCTGGATTTCTAAAGAAAACGATCAGGGCCATGTGTACAAAGATAAACATTCACAAAATAGATTCAGGCGTATAGATTCACACTTAAAGTATGAGCCTTCAGAACAGACAAGTTTACAGAGAAGAGATCTGATCCTTTACAACAAACACTCAATGCTCTGTAGTCCTGCTAGTTATCCACCATTCTTAGACATTGAACAGTAATCTGATTACGTCTTCATTATGTCACCGTGAGGATTACAGTTACTGATGTCCATTGGAGAGAGGACCATGTGTTGAGAGGGAATCTTGATGAGTTTGTTAGGGAGTGGTCGTAAACAGCATAATGCATGAAAGAAGAAAAGTGTTCAAACTACGGGAACAAAAAACGATTGGTGTCTATTTTTCTTCTGTAGCTTTGGGTATGTAAGACGAGACAATGCAAAGACGTACACTTACATACGACTCCTTTCATAATTCTTCTTTCAAAAATCTAAATTTCTTAAAAAATAAATAATTGGACTTTTTTCAAAAATCTCACTTTTTTCAAGAATCTCACTTTTTATAAAATGCTCACTTTTTGAAATTTAAATTCTGTTTTTAATTCAGCAGGTGAACCTATACGTTCATAAAATAGTGTGTGTGAGTTTAACTGTGTGTATTAAACTAAAACGGAGCATTTTCTGTCAGCTCAGATTTGATCTCTGCTGTTTTAAACTGTTGTATGTGCTCATGTGTTTCAGTGTTAGTGAACTGTCTGAATATATCACTTTAAATGGTGATTATATATTCTAAATATGTTATCGCATGTTCAAAACAAGCTTTCTAAGAATATGATGGAAGTATGTTTGACTGAAATGCTTTTTTTGGGCCAACACAAAATGCGTTCAAATGTAGCATGCAACAGAAACATTCCTTGTGTTTATTCTGGACAAAATATGTTGATGATTGATCCTTTTCTTAGCGTAGAAGCTATTGGGACGTATATTAAAGAGTGCAAAACAGAGTCTCTATAACTCTAAACATGTTCATAAAGACTTTGATTCCTGATTCATAGCAAACACTGGATCCCCGGAGCTGTCGATAGTTAGCTGTAAGTGGATTCAGACGGTTTGGAAACTGAAGGTTTATCGTTGGCATGGTTTAGGTTCAGATCAGTTCCTACAGGGTGCCGTGTGTTTGACCCCGTCTGCATACATTTCAGAATGATCTAATTACAGCACGTTGGAAAAGCCGTACAGCAATAAAGTCTGAGTGATCAGAGCAACAATTCAACTCTGTAATTTCCAACGTTGGCAGGGAGGATGGGAATGTTTGAGATTCCTGCAGGAAAGAAGAGATTGGAGTTTTCTTTTCTTTGTGTGGGACTAATAAAGATATTCTGATTCTGATCTGATCCTGAAAAAACATTTAGGAAAATGGTCAAGGGACATTTCCGGTTATCGCATTTCAGCTAGGTTAAAACAAATGGAGACTCTTTCTTCTTAAGATTTGCATTTTAGTTTCAAACAACATTTAAAAAAGTTGAGATTTTGGAACAGTTTGTGATGAAGAACACTTATAAAAGTTTCTTTGTAAGCAGACGATATGTTGTTTTACATTGATAACGCATCAGATAGAGTTTATGGTGAAATACTTGCAATAAATGAACAATTATGCACTGTAAGACCGAACATTACAAGCTTCTGAAAGAAAATGGGTTGTTTTAACTCAAACATTTAAAAAAGTTAATTCACCGCTAATGTTTTGATGACTATGAACTGATTTTTAATATTGTGTATACAGTGTTCAACCACTTTGGGTCATATTGGTGATTGTACTCAAACATTTTTACTGAATCTGTCTGACGCTGGTCTGACGTCATCACGTATGTGCTCCGCCCCCCGACGTGCGTAGACGTTTCTCTCACCCATGCCTTCACCAGAGTCCGCCATTAGCTCCTCGCCTCGGTTGAAATCGCTCATACTTTTAAGAATACTTTCCCCACCTTGCTGATTGCACTCACTGCCGGAATCTTGATCCTTTTTTTGGCCGCACTACTCTGGTGAGTTACGTCTTGCCTTTGCACAGTATTTAAATGATGTTTTATTAATTTCTGCATCTAATGCACTTTGTGTCGCATGGTGTGTTAGTTTGATTTGAGCTCTTGTTAGCTAGCCTACATTTAATATCTGCCTTACTTGAAAAATGATTTAACTTACGTGTAAGACAGTATTTCTATATTGTTTTAAGTTATATCTCAAAGTGGAACGTTTGTGTTGCAAAAGTTTTCTTGAAAATTCGAACCTAAAATGGCGGCAGGCCGCGCGTTTTCTTTCTTCTTTTTTTTTTACTGCATGTCTGGGCATGTTTTATTAACTTATGCCGCGTTTCCACTACACAGCCTCGCTCGGCCCCGCTCGGCCTCCTTTGGCCGCGCCCGGCCTCGTTAGGACCAGCTCACTTTGTGGCGCGTTTCCATTACAGTTTAGGAACCGGGTCAGTATCTATAGTAACACAGTGTAGGCGGAGCGACGCTGCTTAAAACTGCCGTGACGTCATCTTCAATGCGACACAACAATGGAGATGTGAAAGCGATCGTTTGCTTGTTTTTTGCTGTGTGGTTTATTATCACAAGAAATAGACAAGAGTTGTTTCGAAAGAGGCGACGTATAGCAAGACGAGGTATAGAAGAAGCTGACGCGAGAGTTCGGGCAGTCCTCCTACGCCGCAGAGACTACAGGACGACTCGAATCACTACTAACTACAATGCTACTTGGTAAGCTAACGTTCGCTAACTAGCAATGTGTTTAGGCTCACTCTCCCTATACGACCAAAGTATTTCAAGTATTTAATTAATTGTAGCTACCACTTTTACGTATTAAAATATGTATGCCTTTGTTTGTGTATTTCAGAAGTTACCGACCGAGCTACCGAGTGGTGGAATGTGATTGTTCCATCTTTCACACACTCAGTGGGTGGAGAACTTCAGGATGCCTGAGGAAAACCTACGTGTAATACCTAAATATTCATTGTATTGTATTGAACATAAATACATCTTTTCTTTTTCACATACATGTGTTTGTCAAATTATTTAAACCAAAAAAATGTTATCAGAATTGACTATTTAGTAAATATTTGAATTTCAAGCACCAGTACTGCCCCCATAATAATAATCTAATAAATTAAGCAAATATCAAAGCAAACTATAAACATAAATACAAAAGTGTAAAACACAACAGAACTATATTCATAAATGCAAGTGTAAAAAATTGTTAACATGGATGGAGGCTAAAGTATCCACAGCATAAAATAATATGATTATGATGGTTTGTCTGAAAGACACAGCCTCAAGGTTCAAGGTTTTTTATTTTGTCATACGAACATAGCTAGTGTAGTTATGACAATGAACATCTTAGGTCACAGGCTCCTCCAACAGTGCAACACAATAACCCAGATCAACAGAAATATAGTGCAAGTAAATATTAAGCGCTGTGCACCGCTCTCTTTGTATAGGTGTTTTCTTTTGTTCTCTTCTCTTTGAAATATATAAGCAATGTGTTTGAGTCTAGCACAACGAGGGTATTACAATTGAGTAATTTTTCTACATGTATTTATCATGTATTCTTAATACCATTATGTAATGTTATGTTTTAGAGGAGGACCTCAAGCTAGCAAACTCAATTTCAAAACAGTATGCAGAGTTGTCCTGCTAAAGAGTTAAAATGTATTATTTAACCAAGTATTTATTCTCTTATTTGCTTTAATTGCAACAGATGATAAAGGTTTCACTGTGATAAGTATTCTCTTAAATCCATAAACCCCTGTACAGTGCTTTGTGGACGATGGTGTTTATGATATTTCTGACTGCAGAGGGATGCCTAGATGATGCCATCTTTCTGTGCGATCGCTGGTGGGTGCAATTATTTATCAACAAGCAATAAGATAAGACATGGCATTGATTCTGCTGGGCCAGTTGCCGTTCCTGCAGGGCCAGATCGTCTCCTCCTCGGTTTGTGCTGTTGATGCAGAGGACGTTGTTCGGAACTGTTCCTCCTCGCTAGTCCCAATGTAATCATCTAGAACAGAAACATGACTTGTAAATTCCACAAACTACTGCAGCACAATACTATAAATAGCAACAACAACTATAGAAAAGACAAACTGAACGTAAACAATGGCACATATGGTGTTAGCAAACAATAGCTCTCGCTAATGCTATCTGCCTAGCTAGCCATCGGGGTTGTCGAACATAAATGTAAGGATAAAATAGACTTATTTGTTAGAAGTGAGCTTTAAAACAGATAGGGACACAAAGCAGGGACACAAAGCAGGGACACAAAGCTTTCAAGCAAATAACACAGCGTTAGCAAAAACGTACCATGCAGACTCCAGTAACGCCGTTGGAGAGTCCAGTGTCTGTGTAGAGACCTCCTGAAAGACTTTGATATTGCGAGTTGTCCCGTCGAGCACCCGCTGGACCTTATCATCTGCAATATAATGGACGTCGTCACTTCCTCGACCGACCATGGTGTGCTTTTCTTTGCCATTGTTGTAGCTCCTCCGTTAACAAAAATGCTGTTTGTAAAAATGGATTATCTCGCGCGCAGATTGTGACGATTCTCTCCGACCAATCAGCAGCCGAGAGCGTTGACGTCACAAACACAGCCCGGTTGTCTTTGGCCCTGGCCCCACGATTTTATGAGGCCAGAAAAACTGAGAATTAGGACCAGCCGGCCGGTACTAGGCCAAGTGGAAACGCAACCACAAACGGGCCGCTGACTTCACAGCCCTCTTAAACCGGGCTGCGCGCTGTAGTGGAAACGCGCCATAAGAGGCATAGAGGATTTACGTTCATTTGATCCACTACAATGTACCATAACCGTGCGTTCTGCATGTTAGTAAAAGCAAGTTAACTTGAAACAATAGACTATTCATTTTACAAGGTAATTTATACCCCCCCAGCGTTTTCAATTACATGTAACTTAGCAAAGGTAATGATTGCACAGTGATGATACTAATACTTCTAGAGTCTGTGGAATCTCAGCTTTAATCTGATAAGTAATAAAGTATTTCTACCGTGAGTTAGGCATTTTTTCGCTCCGGGCTAATTTAGACGCTTCTTGTGAGACTTGTGTTTTGTTTCGGTAAAAATGGTTCGTATCGTCAGTTAGGTGAGTTTCGTTAAGTGGGTATGACACATTAATAGGTTTTTAAATGTTAAGAAGCCCTGAGACAAAGTTCGTGAACAAAAAGCCCTCTGTACCGGTGGCTGCCCGGTTTAACAGATTAATAGTCTAGTGTTTCAAGTTAGCTTGCTTTTTACAAACATTCAGAATGCACGGTTATGTTAAAACGTTAGTGGATAAAATTAACGTAAATCCTCTATGCCTCCAAGCTAATAAAACATGCACAGACATGCATGCGGTAACAAAAAAGAAGAAAAGCGAGCGTCCTGCCGCCATTTTCAACCCAGTCTCACGGCATTTCGTGTTATTAGTCACGAAATTAATTTAATCTATTGATTCGTGTTCACCAACACGATTTTAAATGCAATGTATTTCTATTGGTAGTATGTTTCGTGCCTGCAACACGTCTTTTTGTCCGGTCGGGTCTTGGAAGACCGGAAGCTGTGTGGTTCATAAAAACATGTTCTTACTCAATATCTTACCCTAAGCCTAACCCTATCCCTTTTATTTTAAATTGTATAATGTCTGAGTTTTTTGCCGTCAGTGAGGAAAAGAAATGTCTCAGAGCCTCAGAATACTGACATCTGTATTTTATGTCATCTTTTTTTCCTTCTAATTTGTTATTATTTGGTGCAGGCACGAAACATACTACCAATATAAATACATTGCTTCTAAAATCGTTCTGTGTCAGAATACTGAAATCTGTATTTTTTTAAATGTCTTTTTCCTTCTAATTTGTTATTATTTACATTGCTTTTAAAATCGTTCTGTGTGACACGAAAAAAATGGCGAAATCGTGTTGGTGAACACGAATCAATAGATTAATTTCGTGACCATAACACGAAATGCCGTGAGACTGTGTTGCCATTTTAGGTTCGAAAATAGTGTTTCTCAGATCATTTTGTGAAAACTTTGCAACCCAGCTAACCTTCAATGTTTTTTCTCTTTAGGAAACTGAAGCAACTGGCAGATATATGGCTTCTTCAATCTGACTCTAACATCAAAAGACCAGAGAGGGCAGAGGTGAATTTCTTGCCTAATTTCCCACTGGGTGATGATGGTACAAGCCTCGAGCGATTGAGACTCCAAATCGTAGATGAAGTTACGAGGAGTGATAAAAACCTTCCCTTGATTGAAAAGTTAATGCAGACTACCTTTGCCCTGCGGCGCAATGAGATCATCAATGATGAGCTACCTGTTGGAGAGATCCTGGAACGCTGGCCTGCCTTGAAAATGGAGTCACAGGTGAAAATATTGTATTTATTACCACTATATAATTATTTTGTGTGCCTTTGTCACTGATAACTTTGACATGTTTACTCAGTTTTAGCATGTTATGTTTGTGTTTATCTCTGCTGCCTTCAGTCCACATCTACATTGTACTGTGAATTAAATAGTCATTTTATATTTTGGCAGATTTGTGCAGAGTTTCACAGAATAACAAACCTCAACCTGAAGAACCACTTCTATGCGGAGTTGGATCGGCATACCCCCCGTCTTCAGAGCCTGTTCAGGAAGAAGGCGGCAAGCAAAGGGAAGGTAGCTGAAGTTCTGAATCAGCTATTTGTCTCCTATGACCTCCAGGTGAGTCGGTTATGCCTCTTGGTGTTTTATTCTCATACTAGAGTGGATTATCTTTGTCAAAATGGTAATCTCTTCAGTCATGGAAGAGCCCTTTCTTGTGATATCAATTGTTGTGTGGCTATACTGTTTAGCATCCAAAGTAAAACAAAGATATGTTCTCACACTCAAGGAGCAAGGTGACGTCCATGTCCGACGTGCTGCTGTCCTCCGTGCTCTGCCTGCATATCTGCATGAAGATGACTCCACGTTTCTGAGGCTGTGGCATGTAAGTCAGCATAATAACTGTTTTGAATGTATGTGACAGATCATCAAAAAATATAGTTTATCTTGTTACATTGTTTCAGGAGCTCTATCGCAGGAAGACAATTATTTGAATTTTTATAGTGAAAACATTATAATAAATGATAGATTTAGTTTGAAAAAGTATGAACTGTCCTGGTGTCATCAAAGCTTGATTCTGTCACTGAGGTTATATTACTCAAACATTATCTCTTGTGTTGCTCACATCCCGTTCTAGTTCCAAGATTTGAATATTGCCATAAGAATTGTAATTATTGTAAGGTACACAATGGATATGTTGAATATAATCTCCCTTTACTTCACTACTTTAGGATTTATTTGAAAGCTCTTTAGGTTTCAGTGTTAAAAATGGGCTCACGTGATTTAATAAAATATACAATTAAGAGAGGGCTTTCTTTCCTACAGCATCAGTGTTCAATACAAAAGAATCTCTAGTGTTCCCCATATTTTTGTATGTGTAGTAGGGAGAGATTATACTGTAAATATATATTCAGTTGCCAGTTTATTAGGTACAACTAGCGAATAGTAACACAGTCTAATACAGTGATAAAATAAATCCTACCCTTATGAAGGTTATAAATGTTTTTTTTGTAGAAAGCATTTATGTCAACTGATTGGGTATTTTGGAGGCTGAAGTTTCTGGGGCTGTAACATTATGTTGTGCAATGCTGATAGGTGTTTCCTTAACCCTTTAACTGCCAGCGCCACCATTTGGTAGAGCACATTTTGTGTCTTGATATCTTGTTTAAAAAAAGAAGTTGAACTCCATCTGATTCAGCCAGCTCTACCATCTGGTTGACGTGTTATGCACAAAACAACCTCTAGATGTCATTGTGGTTCAAATAGAAAGCCCTTCAGCTAGCTTCCACTGAGAAAGTTGGCAATGCTAAAAATCACTGCTGAAGAAATCTCTTTTTGGTCAACGTTTGTAAGGTAACCATATCAATTTTGACATATTTTAGTGTCAGAGCACTGACTGAACATATTTAGATAACTTGATGCACAAAAAAAGTTTTAACAAGGGTGTAATTCTTTTTTGGAAAATATGCTCAACCAATCGGTGGAATTGGCTTTTTATGGTAAACTAGCAATATGACTTTTTCAGATGTTTTCCAATAAAATATGGTAAATAAATGGCTAGATTCATGGTAATATTACTAAATCTAATACTGCCTTATGAGTCTCAGAGTGAAAGAGTGATAATAATTTATATAGCACCTTTCATGCATGGCATTCAGCCCAAAGTTGCTCACAGATGAGCAAGTTAGGCCAACACAGGATGTAGACATTTGCTGTTAGGCCAGTGGTTTCTTGTTAGGCCAATTCAGCATCTACAGTAAGATGAGCAAGTATTTTTTTTATTATGAAAAACACTTTTTTTTACAATTATAATGTATTATCTTTTATGAATATATCTGGTTGTATATATTGCTCATTTTCCATAAAAGAAACAAATGTATTTCAGTTTGTGTTTTATTTGAGTTTGATGCGTACAAATACTGTACTGTATATGATGATTCTTGAAAATGCACTTTTACCATAAAAGGCCAGCTCGACCAGTTGGTAGAGGCTCATAAAAACAAAACTGTGGGGTCAGTCAAAACATTTTTTTTAATTTGTGGCCCATTTGATAAAAAAAAATGCAAACAAATAATTTTTCCATAGCTTTTTTCTTGGTCTCGCAGTTAAAGGGTTAAAGCCACATTATGCACAAAACATTAGGTTATTTGATGTGATATGTCACTGATGTATTTTTCAGAAAACAGATTTCTGAGATAGCCAAGGCAATTTGGGGTAATGGGTAACGTTTATCTGTTCTTGTCATCAGGTGGAGCAGTCTGATGATCCAGACATAGAGGACATCGCGGTCGGACTTCTCATGATCAGTGCCAGGTCAACAGACACCACGCTCTTCTGCCCAGAGAGGATCGCTGTTGTCATTGAGGGTAACAGAGTTATCGAACTCCCTACACTGGCTGACGCATTCATCCTGCTTTTTGCACTGACCTTTGCCCTGCATCTGAGCTATCCAAAAGACTTGGCCAACACTTTTAACTTCACCCAGAAAGTGTTGATGGGCCTTGATGAGGGGAACTTGAAGAATTTGAAGCCCCGGGTGTTGAGTCTGAAAAATGACCTTTTGGCAGTGTAATACTACCAACGTGCAAAGTTGCACTTTAACAATCACACACACACACACACACACACACACACACACTAAAATAAACAACTTCTTTACCGAAGACTTGTATTTACGGAAGACAGGCAAGCTATCTTCCGGCTGTGATTGGTTGTTCGTAGTCACCTGGCAAGCTGTGCTCTCGGCTGAGTTCAAAAGTTAAAGTTCTTTAAACTAAAGATGCAGTCATAGTGTCCTGGTCACGCCTTGTGAAATTGGGGTGTCTTTATTGACAACAGTGGATTTGAGCAAGGGTACCGCCCCTATGCAAACTGCCAACATTATTTTTCTCAGAAAAAACCACACACACACACACACTCTGTTCTCCTGTTTACATCCTGCTGCTTTACATCTGTGTTCTGTATTGCATTGACAGATTTGTTACTGTTCAGCTTCAAGTTGAAGGACTGTTTGTAGATGTTGTTTTATACTTTTATATGTATTGGGTCTTTATGTGTTAAATTAATACGCAGAACTGTTCCTGAAAATTGTGTTTAATTCTTGCCAACACAAGCACATTATGTGTCTGCTGGTTTTGTTAAATGTATTCAGTACCTATTCATTTTCATATGCCTTGGTAGGCTTGAAGACATTGGACCCTGTATGTGCAAGTGATCTTTCATCTGAACCTGGTGTGTCTCTCGTGGTAGACTGATTTCATAGAAGAGTCTCTTTTAACTTGAGGAGGAGCCTTTCACATAATAACTTTTAGAGCCAAAGTTTGTTTCTTTTGAAACTATTGTGGTTAAAAAGGCCCTAGCACTGTTTTTAAGGTATATTTTTTATTTAAAAGAGTTATTTGCTATAATGTGTATATGTGTATATATATATATATTGTTTCTTAATAAAACAGTGATTTGCATTTAAATTGTCAGTGTAAAAGTGCTTTTGAATGTTTACTCAATGTTAACTTAGGGATTTTGAGTTAGTTATCTGAAAATATTTATGTAATCGGTTTCAAAAAATGTTTTAAGTACTCTACATTCAGTCAGTTTTGAGTACTAATCAATTGACGTTTTTAATTCATATCGCGTTTTATACAGCGAAAAGTTTTTTATTTAGAGATAATAAAAATATTCAAGTTAAATATATTTGATTTTCATATGTACTGTGCTAACAAAATAGCTAGTTGAAAAGATATGAACATTTTTAAGTCAACAATACTTGATCTTTATATGTACAGTGTTAACACAAATTATTAGTTAAAAGAAACTTAATATATAATGTTTCTTTAACTTACAAACAATATGTTTGTGTGCCTTGAAAATTACTACTAAATAGAACTCAATTGATAAGATTATACTTTAACTTAAAACATTTCAGTTAAGGTATAAGTATTACTCAAAAATTTGTATGTAATCAGTTTCAAAGAAACTTTTGAGTTCTATTAACTTGTCAGGTTTTACAGTGTGGGTCTCTCACGGTTTGATTGAAATATCTATTCTCTGTAGAAATGGAAATGGTAATTTAGTTATTCACATGGTTGTACAAAATGAGAGGAAACTTGGTTTAGTTTATTTGTTAATTGTGGGAAACATTTCAAAATAGTTGTTTACACAAACAATGAATGACATAAGACAATGCGTGTGAAGTGTGTGACTGTGTTGAGAGAGGGGTGAACATTATTTATTTTTTGGAGAAACATAGGCAGGACAGATGGTCCTTGTAAAGATAAGGATTTATTTAAATAAATGAGAAATCAAAATATTTTATTGTGTAATAATCTGATATTGTCGCTAACCGACTGTGATGTGAGCACTGCAACACTTTTCTGTTCTCAGTTTTATAGACTTGACACACACACACACACACAGAGAGACACACACACACACACACACACACACACACACACACAGAGAGACACACACACACACACACACCACACACACACACACACACACCACACACACACCACACACACACACACACACACACACACACACACACACACACACACCGTCCGATCTTTGACATTCTTTGCAGAAACCTTTGATATGCTTCAGGTTATCCTAATTTAGCACAAACAAGTTAAAGGGGACCTATCATGCAAAATGCACTTTTGTACGTCTTTTCTACATGAATATGTCCCCCCGGTGTGTCAGGGTATGAGGTGTGATTTGTGCCAAAGAGCGAACTCACTGAGCAGACAATCGTGTCGGTCGTCGTCTACCATGCCGTGAACTATGCCGTGAGAGAAGTAACGTGACACTCTCGTCGCCACCCCGCTCGTCTAAGCTACGTGACGTCTGCGTCTGAAGTTACTTTACTTAGTTATCAGCAAATAACCCAGTAATGTTACAGCTACGTTGCTGTTCAAGCTAGAATCTATTTCAATATAGTTTTGGTATTAAAATAATGTTACACCTCTTGTATGCCCTGAATGCAAAAAACAACCACAGACAAGAATATATATTTTTAATTATCAAAATGATAACAAAGGCTGGAAAAACAGGAGAAGCCTGTCTTCCCTTGGTCTCCAGGAGAAAACTGTATATCACCAAGTTTTCATATAGTTTTGTGTGTGAAATAGATCGCTGCAGTGAACACGACTTTATGTATTTGTTTATGGTTTATTTGATTTGGAGGGATGCAGTATACATAGAGGTTCAGAGAAGAGGCAACCCCTATTGTTTATTTTATTTCATTTCAGCACCATGGTAGAGGCAAATATAGAGTTAATGTGTGGAGATTATAATGTCCCGTTTACTAAAATATGTATTGTTTTATGATGTTGAGTGGACAAAATAGTCACTGTGCTACATTTTGCTGCACTCAAGCATACATCTGAAGACAAGAGTTGTGTCCCCCTTTGGCCGCAAGGGGGAGTATATATATATTGTATATATATATTGTATAGATGTTGCAACTATACAGAGCTTTGGCAATACTATATGTAACTGAGGTCATGCTAATAAAGCTATTGAATTGAATTGAGTATACCTTTAGTGAGCTGTCAGGAGGAAACAAAGGTTCGCCAACACATTGCACTTTAATGCTGAGAAAGTACAAAGACGTGAAACGATGTGCTGCAATGTCTGTGTATTTTTTAAGAATGCCAAGTAAAGGAAGAAAGTAATAACTCGCACTGAGTCTTAATACATTACTTTATTTCTATTATATAGAAACACTATCCAATGATGTATTATGTTTGTGTTACACACACCATTAACCTATACAACAATAGGGAGCCCTGGCTCAAGGACGGACACAACAAGGACACCACACATGATTCTTTTCCAATTACAGTATATTTATTTAAAGAGAGTAACTCAATTGTGATATCAGTTAATCAGTAATGTCTGTAGTGTACGGGTGTGTGATGTGTCAGCAGGGCCGGACTGGGACCATAGGTCAGGTCAGGAATCATACACCCAGCCTGGCCACTACTAGTTTAGTTTGGGGGCGTTTTGCTGGATGTATCGTCAATATTTACAACGTTGCTGCCCGTAGTGATAGCCCTACAGTTTGAATCTACTACTTAAATAGAAACATATGGACATAGGATATTGTTAAAAAAAAAGGTGTGCATATGTATTTGGGACCCTTTCCATGTGAACATGTTTTATTTGGGGGTGGACCTCAAATGGATTAAACTGTGATCAATAACTATAGTAACTTATTGAGAGAACATGAACATAGCTTGCTTATACTGTTGTCATTACATTTCCTTTGTTCAGTGTTTTCATAGACATAGCCTATTGAAACAGTTTCCTCTGTACCTGCCAGTTCTGTCCACTGAGCTCTGCATCTCTCCCTCAGGGCCATCACCATCAGCATCATCTGATAGTGGAACTGAATAAGGAGAACATGTAATCATTACATTAACAACTATTTATGAAATAACATTATTCAAGAACATACATTATGCAACACTTATTTTATCACTTAGTTGACCCTGTATTTGCATGGCCTAATACCATAATGATTGTCTCCCCTTTAGACAACATAACCATCTCAAGTGATTCACTCACAGTATGAGGGGTTTGTAGCCCCACAGTTAGCTGCAGTCTAACGGTTATATTACATATATTTGCCTTGAGTAACATTAAGGACATGTTTGGGTTTTGTGTAGCCTTATAGTCTCCAGTCACACAGGGCCTGCCACTAACTTAGCATTGGACTGAGAAACAGTTTTGTTGACAGTCGATGTGCACATCAGGCTACAATATAGAAAGAAATGTGGCTCATAATGTTCGCTCACTTACTTTCTGCTTCGTCATTCTATACCATAGGGGGTTCTGAATAAATCAGTGATTTTAGCACATTTCACTGCCTTTTTTTGCAGGATGGGGGTCCATCCTTCCACAATAATTAATCTTGCCGTCAGTTTCAGTCGGTCCAGTCCACACTAATGTAAACAGCAGCGCGCTGGTCTCGTGAGAAACGGAGAGTGGAACAACCAATCACATCTTCATTATTCTCCTGAAATGTAAATGTGCCCATTCGCCAGTCTGACACATAGACTGTATATAAAGGTCTGGTCTGACAGGTGCGTGGTTCTCACTGCGTTTCATACCGGTGCAACTTTGAACACCTTCAATATATGCCGCATTAATGGATTTGGCCTGCAGTCACTGCATCTGGGCTGAATTAAACACGTATTATTTTAGTCCTGTGTGTTTATTAGAGGCCATGTCAGCAGGCCACATCACATCATGCCAGTGCTGCGTTCACAAGACATACAAGCCACAAACTGGCAATCGAAACATGCTACAACCTGAGGGACAGTGAATGAGACACACACAGACACAGACACACCCACACACACCTTGAGGGAGGGAGGGACAGCTGATCGCCGTGCAGCAATCAGCTGTTCCCGAGCAGAGAGAGAGAGAAAGAGAGAGAGCTGCTAGACACAACTCTTATTAATCCCCGTACCGGACAATTGTTATTTGTTCCAAATCGGAACCGGATTTCGGTTCCCGATCCTCATCACATCCCCAGCCACAGCCGTGGTCTTAACCGGTCTTGACATAAAATATCGAGTCCTATAGGTCCGATACAGAGACAATACGAAACCAAATGCAGTCGATTCCGAGACCAATACCGTTAAAAAGTGGTCTGGAGACCGGTCTCGAGTACAACACCAGCAAATATTCTCATACTAATGATTATTAATTATTATTCCCCTCTCTTCTGATACCAATACTGTGCCGATGAGAAAGTGTAGGCTACCTGTAACACTCTCCAAACTAGGAGCGGAATCATTCGAAAAATATAATATAGGATAATGCTATACAATGCGAACGGAGGCGAGACGTACGTTATTCACGCGCTTATCCACACGTACGTTATTCACGCGCATATCCACACGTACGTTATCAACACGCATATCTAAGATAGCACTTTCAAAGCTACGCCGCCGCCACGTGAGCGCGTACTTTGAGCGCGTACTTTGAGCGCACCTATGATACGTCGCCGTGACGTCTGACGTCTGACAACGTCGTGACGTCGCCTGTATTGTACGTCAACCCATTCAAAATTGATGGAGGCGTTGGCGCACGTTGACACGCCAGTTCTCCGCTCAGTGAGCTTAGTTATCTGTTCTTTGGCACAAATCACACCTCATATCAGGGAACTCACCAAGTGTCAGAAAACACAACCCTCTCTCTTTTCCTCCATATCCAAATCTCTAAAAACGGGGCAGCAACGGAGCTGATACAGATTTGAAACTGTTCTGACGTCAGAAACGGGAAGCTCCGCCTATTTGGGCAACTCTCCACCTATCAGGGGAATGGGGAGTTGGGCCACGGCCACGGCCATTGCCGCTCGAAAGCGCTGGAGACGCTGTAGTACATATGCCAGGCCTGT